ACTTTTAGGGAAAGCCAATGTAGCTCTTAATAGTGCTGGCCAGTAAGGGCGGAGGGCTGTGGGCGAGCTGGGGTGGGGTTGGGCTGGAGGGCAGCTGGTGACAGGGGAAGGGGCCTCTGCTGACCACTCTGGCCAGCCATGGGGGGCATCCTGCAGCTCAGGGAGCAAAGGATGTCTCCAAGTGTGAGGGCTTCCTGAAGAAGGCGTGTCAATGATTCTGGCTTCCAGACTCCAAGGTTCCCTGCAATCCCAACAGCCCAAGTGTGAGGCTGTGTACCCAGACAGGGCGGTGGAGTCTGCTGCGAATTAGAAAGCCCAGCCTCTCTCCTCTTCAGACCTCCCAAGAAGGACTTCCTGCTCCACTGTCAGGGTCCCGTTTTCATGGGTGGTTAAGCAGGGCATCCCGGTCCCACCGTGGTTCCAGGCCTCAGCTGGTCTGCCTCTTGCTGCCCCAGGCCCAGTTATGCTGCCAGCGAGGAGAGCCGAATCCTCGTTCTCACTGAGCTGCTGGAGAAGAAGGCCCGCTCTCCCTTTTACCAGGAAGGCGTAAGCAACGCCCTGCTGAAGATGGCTGAGCTGGGGCTGACGCGGGCAGCTGATGTTCTCCTGAGGAATGGGGCCAATCTCAACTTTGAAGGTCAGCTGGAGCCCGGAAGAGCCAGGGAAGCCCCTGTTGGATAGCCTCCCACTCCCCTGCAGGCTTTCAAAAGCTCCTGCTCCCTCTGCCCCCAGCGAGTGTGCTGCTGCTCTGCCATGATTGATTCAGCAAACCTGCCAGCTCCCAGCCTAATCCCGCTTCCATTAGTGTGGAAATGCGGCTGCTGGCACTGTGCCCGGAGCTAAGGGAAGGTGATTTCCTGCCACTCACTCTGAGCTGTCCTGTGTTTTTGCTTATGCCATGGGTGGGGGAGGGGGGGTAGGTGACAGATAAGCCACACTGCACGCTGGGTGTCAGTCTCTGCAAGAAGCAGCTTCTGGCTGATAAGTGCCGGGGAGGGTGGTGATGGGACTGTTCTCCTGGCATCTGTGGCTTTCCCCTGAGGACAGCTGAGTCAGGAGAGGGCACGACTGCTTGGACAGCAAGTGCAGGTCTGTGCTGACCCAGGATGTGGCCAGGCTTGTCTCCCCTCACCATGGACACAGGCTCAGAGGCTCTGGGGCTCCTGGGATTGCTGAGGAAGGAGGGTCTGGCTTGAAGTCCTTCAGCCGGATCCCAGGAACCTGCTCTGTGGCCCTGCTCTAGCACAGCAGCCAAGAAGCAGCCACTCAGTGAGTGACTCCCCCAGCGAGCTAAAAGGAGGGCAGTTTTATGGCCCGTCATATAGAAGAGGAAACTAAGGCCCACACGGGTCAAGTAGTGGCCCCAGATCTCCCCCAGGGCCCTCTAGTACCTGGTGAGGACAACGTTGAGAGGGCCCAGTCCTGCGGCTTCTGGGGCGAGTGCTGGTGCTGGGCTCCAAGGCCAGGCCCTGGACCCTGTGAAAACTCGCTGATGCAGGACTGACCTGTGCTGTCTGCCTTCAGACCCTGTCACCTACTACACGGCCTTGCACATTGCCGTTCTCCGAAACCAGCCTGACATGGTGGAGCTGCTGGTGCGCCACGGGGCTGACATCAACCGGAGGGACCGGGTAAGAGCTGGCCCAGCCTCGCAGGGGGAATGCACCAGGGTCCCAAAGCAGCCCACAGCCCCCACACCAACCCAGCTGGTGCTGTCTTGGCTCAGATCCATGAGAGCAGCCCCCTGGATCTGGCCAGTGAGGAGCCCGAGCGCCTGCCCTGCCTGCAGCGCCTTCTGGACCTAGGAGCCGATGTCAACGCAGCCGACAAGCATGGTAGGTGCCTCAAAGGAAAGTGGGACAGCCTGGGCCCTGGGCACCTTGTGAGGGAAACCAGGTGACCCGGGGGTGTCTGGCATGTTGGCTGGAGGCAGCCTGGCTGTGGCACGGCACGACTGGTGCAGGGTGGATCTGCTGACTCGCCGTAGCTCGGAGTCCAGAGGCTTTGGAGGGGCAGTGCAGTCATTGTCCCCTGCCAGCCCTGAGGCCCTTCTATAGGAGATGGGAATGGGCATCAGCTTCTGGAGATAGTGGCTTGCTGTGAAGAGAGGCCCAGCTGGCCTCAGCAGCTTGGGGTACAGAAAACCCCTAAATCTACTCCAGATTTGTGTGGGTAGAAAAAGATGGCCAGAAGCCTGTCCCCCTCAGCCCTGGTAAGTTTTTAAAGTTCTTTGATGCTTTTTTGAAGCCTCACGGGTAGAGGTGGAGAGTTGCCACCTCTACCCGTGGGGCTGTCCTGACCTCAGCGCCCTGGCCTCCACTTCCTCCTGTCCCTCTCTAGGGAAGACTGCTCTGCTGCATGCTTTGGCCAGCAGCGATGGGGTGCAGGTCCACAACACTGACAACATCCGGCTCCTGCTGGAAGGAGGTGAGGCTGCCCATGCCCCAGCCCAGCCTCTCACCCACAGTAGCTTCTGCTTCCCCCCCTTCCCTGCCTGGTGAGGGCTGCAGACATCCTCCCACCTTTTTTTTCTGATGGCTCTTCCAGGGGCAGATGTCAAGGCCACCACCAAAGATGGGGACACTGTGTTCACCTACATCATCTTCCTGCTTGGCGAGACCGTGGGCGGGGACAAAGAGGAGGCTCAGATGATCAACCAATTCTGCTTCCAAGTCACACAGCTGCTGCTGGCCCACGGGGCTGACCCCAGCGAGTGCCCTGCCCATGAGTCCCTCACGCATATCTGCCTCAAGAGCTTCAAGCTGCACTTCCCCCTCCTGCGCTTCCTGCTGGAGTCTGGGGCTGCCTACAATTGCTCCCTCCACGGCGCGTCCTGCTGGTCTGGCTTCCACATCATCTTTGAGAGGCTCTGTTCCCACCCGGGCTGTGCAGAAGATGAGAGCCACGTGGACCTTCTGCGCAAAGCTGAGACTGTCCTGGACCTCATGGTGACCAACTCCCAGAGGCTCCAGCTGCCCCAGAACTTTGATGTCCACCCGGTGGGCAGCCTGGCAGAAAAGATCCAGGCCCTGCACTCCTCACTGAGGCAGCTGGAAAGCTACCCCCCACCCCTCAAGCACCTGTGTCGCGTGTACATCCGGCTCTACCTCCAGCCGTGGCCTGTGGATGTGAAGGTCAAAGCCCTGCCCCTGCCGGACAGGCTGAAGTGGTACCTGCTCAGTGAGCACAGTGGTACAGAAGAGGATGACAGCTGACAGGTGCTGGACTAGGGGACAGGGTTTGGACAACTTAAACCCCCACCTGCTGGTAGACTTGGCACTTGTGGTGACCCCAGGGGAGGGTCCTTTGATCTGGGAGGTAAGGCTTAACCTTACTAAGCACAAAGCCTATAGCTGTGACCGCTCTAGTGGTGAGGTAACTGCTCTAGTGGGAGAGGTACATCTGTCCCTTCTTTCTGGCACCTGCCCCCAACCCAAGTTTCAGTCTACTCTGGGCAGAATAGTTGTGTAGATGGATTGAGTTTCTGCCTCTGTGCTGGAGGGGAGCCAGGTGTCTGCAGGAGCCAGGCAGCACTCAGTCTAGGCAGCCCCTGGAGCTGCCAGCTTCTGCTTTGTCCTGTGTGGAGGCATAACTAGAACCTTCTAGAGGGAAGCTGTGGCTGCCGCCCAGCTGAGGTCCTACCCATGCCTCTTCACTCCAGATCTGTTTCAAGAAGTGCTTTTGGCAAGCTGGGGGAGAAGGCACCAAAGGCCACCACAGGCTGCCCTTCGAGGCCTACCCCTGCTGACTCTCGTGGCTGACACTTGATGGCTTCCCCCCATCAGGGGCTGGGTCGCCTGTGGCCCTGCTCACCAGGGTACCAGGGCTGTGCTCTACTGTGCCAAACCCAGGGTCTCAGGGAGCATGCCTTCTGCCAGAAGCAATCATGAGTGCAAAGCCAGGGAAAAGCCCCTCCTAAGGGTCAGGTTTTGAGTAGCTTGCTGGGAGCCAACCACCAAAACCAGATGCCACCTGCCCTACCCAGCATCGATCCCTCACGGTCACTTCCAGTCATGTTGTCATTGTATATGCCTTTGGGAATAAGCTGAGACTGACGTGGTATGTTTATATTACAAAATTAAACGGAAATTCCTGGCCTCGCTCAAGGGTCCTATATAAGATTCTAGTCTTCCTTTCTCGTTCAGGGTCAAGGACCAGCAGCAGCCAGTGAGGAGGAAGGGGTGGGAGGGGAGGAGACAGAGCACTTGGGGCAACAACTCCCCACAGAGCACCTCTCTGGCCTGGGGAGGGCCTTCAGAGCACAGGGATTTGTCCTTTTATTTTTGTCTGAAAGTGCCTGCCATGAAGGACCCCCCCAAGTACAGTGAAGGCCAGCCAGATGTCTCCCCTGGCTGCAGGCTGTTGTGACATGAAAGATACCAGGGTCTGCTGGGGACATAGCTCAGTCGTAGAACACTTGCCTAGCATGTTCAAGGCCCTGGGTTCAATTCCCAGTACCACCAAAAAGAAAAAATCATATATACTCATGGGGCTGGGGATGTGGCTCAAGCGGCAGCGTGCTGGCCTGACATGCGTGCAGCCCGGGTTCAATCCTCAGCACCACATACAAACAAAGATGTTGTGTCCGCCGAAAACTAAAAAATAAATATTAAAAAAAAAAAAAAAGAAAGATACCAGGGTCTCATCACCAAAAAGGTCCTGGGCCACGAACATCCCATAAATGGCTCCACCTGGCAGGTGCCGTTCTGGGTTCACCTGGCCAGTATTTTGCCCAACCCGCTTTCCCTGGTAAAGACCACATTACTTCACACCTCCAGGCCTCTGTAACTAAGTTAGGGGCGACTCCCCACCAGGCAGGCACCTGTGGAGTGACCACCAGTTCCCACGAAGTGAGCATCAAGTGCACCGGAGTCATGCAGGCTGTGTGGCATTGGCCTCTGGCCCAATCTGCACCCCACGGGCAGTGAGGCCCGCGTGCCTGCGTCAGCAGGACCCTCCCCAATAAGTCCCACTTTGCCTTTTAAGAAGCAAGTCTATAGTGAGTGGACGGCAGACAGATATATTTAGCGGCCCCTTGACACTCCTGAGCCACACTAGCTGCCAGCGCCCCCCACCTTGGCTCTGGTCCCTGGCCTCTCCAGCCACCGCAGCTCATCTCAGGGCAAAGCTGTAGACATGGTAGATCTCGTCAGGGAGGTTCTCCTGTCGCTCCTCAGCCAGGAGATTGAGGCCTGCACTGCGGATGATCCTGCGGACCACATCAAGGTCCCGGCATACGCTGCTGTCCACATCGTCCAGGATCACGCCCTCCTGGGCCATGTTGTCTTTGATGACGATGATGCCGTTGGGGCGGAGGCCCTGCTTACAGCGCCGTAGGAACTCGGCCAGATGCTGATCAGTCAGGTGGCCTGTGGAGGGCGAAGGCACGGTCACCAGGGGTGAGGTGGAGTGCATGGGAAGCATTCTTCAGCCACTGTGTTCAACAATCCTAAGCCCCATTTGTTTAAGAAGCCACTGGAGCTCAGAAGTCTCCTAAGCCTGAAGCTGGGACTGAAGCTGACAAGGTGCCTCCAGCCTGACACCCGTGCCACACCACCTGTCCCTCCTACGCTAGGACTAGGCAGAGGGGCAAGTGAAGCAGGAGCACCCGAAACCACCTTCCCTGAAGTCCACACAGTGTACAGGGAGGGATAGGCCCAGAGGGCCACAGCAGGGTGGTGCTGCCTACGAGGGTCAGCAGCCAAGGCACAGCACCCTAGGCAGGTTAGGCCAGGAGGCCCACCTGGGGCATCAGCAGGACTGCTCCTGCAAGTCATACTCTCTACCTTACTCTAAAACTCTTAACAAAGCTCAGTTTCACTCGAATGCAGAAAGGCACTGGCCATTTAACATTTTTCAAAAAGCTGCCCCTGGACAGGTGGCAGGTATTTAATTAAAACAAAGTCTAGGAGAGAAGACCTGCCCTTGAGGCCCTCTCCTCACAGGCCCGGGGAGCCTGAGTGGCAGGACAGGTGCAGGCAGGAGGGAGGGCTGCGGGATACTCACCTATCACCCACTGGATCCAGATCACATCATAAGAGCCCGGCTCCGGCCTGAAGTCCTGCAGACCGCAGCAGAAGTAGTTCCTCACCCTCTTGCCTTCTTCCCCCAGGTAGCTCTTGGCTTTGGCCAGAAAGTCCTCTGTCATGTCGACCATATCCACCACTTTAAATAGTGGCAGAAGCAGCCGCTTGGTGATCCTCCCAATGCCAGCTCCACAGTCCAGGGCACAGGAAGTTCCTGTCTTGTTTGGGCCTTCCTGAAAAGCAGAGCAAGCATAACTCACAGGAACCCTGTCACTGCAAAGGGGCCTTCCTCCTGAGCCTGGGAATCCGACTGCAGTCAGGGCCCGGCACCAGCTGGTCATAGGGACACTCTTGCTGGGCCTCATGTTTCTAAGGAGAACAGCCATTTCCACGTGAAGGGTGGTGCACTGAACTCCCATTCCCGAGACCCCAGAAATGAGAACAAGAGTGGGTTCCCACAGGAACTGGAAGAGGGAAAACTGGTGAATAATGGAGTGAAGATGGAACATGAGTGGCAGGCTGTGTCATGTCATGCAGGCTGTGTGGCATTGGCCTCTGGCCCAATCTGCACCCCACGGGCAGTGAGGCCCGCGTGCCTGCGTCAGCAGGACCCTCCCCAATAAGTCCCACTTTGCCTTTTAAGAAGCAAGTCTATAGTGAGTGGACGGCAGACAGATATATTTAGCGGCCCCTTGACATTCCTGAGCCACACTAGCTGCCAGCGCCCCCCACCTTGGCTCTGGTCCCTGGCCTCTGGGACAGAGCATGGTTCCCTCCAGTGCTTGCCAGGGAGGGGGCGAGAGGGAGCAGGCCCAGGGAAGGCTCCAGACACGAGCACCCAGCACGGCACAGAGGGGTGGGGAGCAGCAGCATCAAGACCTGGAAACTAGGAGGCTGCAGAAGAGGCGATACCCACAGCCCAGCACCCACGGACACGACAGGACACCTCGTCCCCAGCAACAGAAGAGTCTTAAGGAAGACTCTTAGATTCCAGTACCTAAGAGTCCCCTAGCATATCAGCTCCGGCCTGCAGCCTTGAGACAGTCGACAATCTAGAAGTTGCACCCCCACCCCCCAGCTCTAGGGCCTCGGTGGCAGGCACTGATAGGGGACCAGAGAGCTGGCAGTGTTTCATGTGCAGGTGGCTCCCCATGCAGCCCCGCCGGTGCCACCAGAGCCACAGCGTCTCCTCCTGGAGTGCACATCAGACCTGCCTACCCTCAGGAACCTCTGCAGGAACTTCCGGGAGCTGCTGAGGTCGATGTTGGAGATGTGGCCATACCCCCCAAGCATGCCGTCCACCGTGGGTGGGATCTGCTTCCAGTATGTCTTGGCCTTCGAGTAGAACTGCTTCTCATCTTCTATCACCTCGCTCGTCATGCTGTCACCAGCCCCGGCTCTGCTCAAGCTCCACACTTGGCAAGGGTACACCTCCTGGGTGAGGAACAAGGAGCAAGTCAGCCCAGCCAGGTGCCATCCAGGCTTTCTGAGCCACACGACCCTGCTGGCATCCAGAACACCCAGGCAGCTAAATCTGCTCCCATCCCTCAGATGACAGCCCCTTCAGAGGATGTGAGACTCCTTCCTGAACAGTGCATGGACAGCAGCCCAGAGACATGTCTGCATGCGGACAGACACAATAGCAGCAGAGGCAGTGATGATGTGTACCATCAGATGACTCGGGAAGGAGGGAGAAAATCCCGAGAAGAGCTTGGGAAGGAGGACCAGCCTGGGCTATGGTGGCCCCAGGTGCATGCAAAGTGCCTGGGCCTCATCTGTCAATAACAGGAAGCTAAGCAACCAAGTCTACTGAGGGCAAGGGGGTGTGCTGGCACTACCTTGTAGGGTGGCAGGGGAAAGTGGGAAATGCATGGCGGCGCCAGCTGACACAGGACGAGCAGCAGCAGCAGGACGACAATGGCAGGGGCAGCTGATGACTCCTCAGCCCTTTTTTGCTGCCGAGGGGACAGGTACTGCCACCATCAGCGTGCAGACAAGGAATCTGATGCACAGGGAAGAGGTCGGGGGCCCTGCACTCACTGAACACCAAGACTCGACAGCTCTTCCCACCATGCAGACCTCGGCCTAGATGTCGCCTCAGAGGCCTTCCCTGAGCTGCCTGTGTAAATGACTCCTTCAACACCCTAGGCTAACTGCAGGGCTCGCTGTCCTTACAGGGTATTTCCATCTGGAATCACACTGTTCTCTTCTATCAGCCGCGGCTAGAATGAAAGCTCTAGAGGGCAGGACTCTGCCAACTGCCGGTTAACCTCCACCCAGCTGAGCCCCTGGAGAAGTACTGGGTGGGAAAGCAGCAGAGACCAGGCTGGCAATAAGGTCTTGGATGGTCCCCAACACACATCTGTATTGTGGACTTGGATGGTGAGGCCGGGTCTCGCCCCAGCGCAGAAACTGGAGGGCAGGGGAAGCACCTGAATCCTCCAGGTAAGCAGTAAGGCTCTGGGCTCTGGGGTTCTACCCACCCACCTTCACATGACTGCAGTGAGCAGCAGTTAAGCCACGGACCCCTATTACTACAGGGTCAACAAAGAAGGGTCAACCTGTGGAACTCGGGAAATCCTCAAAAAAACTGAGAGCTGGCACTGCCCGTCATGCCAGTGACTCAGGAGGCCAAGGCAGGAGGACTGCAAGTTCCAGGCCAGCCTGTGCAATTTAGCAAAAATCTATCTCAAAAAATAAAAGTAAAAATTATAAGAGGGCTGGGGACGCAGCTCCATGGTACAGCACCCCTGGGTTCAATCCCCAGTACCAAACAAAAACAAAAACAGAACTATGAGAAAAACCCTGGCTGCCAGGGATGGAGCTCAGTGGTGGTGTGTATGCCTGGTGCACACGGGCCTAGGCTTGATCCCTGGCATCACCAAAAAGAAAAAGAAAAGCCCCAACACCAAGGGAGGCTTTAAGGGAAGTCAGAAAACAGAAAAGGGCCCCATTAAGTCATTCAGAGACTAAAAGGGGACAAGGGAAAGAAACATGAAAAAAGCCAAAAAACTGTCCTTGGTCAGGTTTGTGACCAGTCCCCAATACACATCTGTATTCTGAACTTGAAGGACCTTCCAAAAGCAGCACACCCACCTTATGCAGACAGCTCAAGAATGCTCCTATCTAAGCTGGACGCAGTAGCCACGCCTGTAATCCCAGCGGCTCAGGAGGCAGAGGCAGGAAGATCAAGAGTTCAAAGACAGCCTCAGCAACTTAGCGAGGCCCTAAGCAATTTAGCAAGACCCTGTTTCAAAATAAAAAAAAAAAAGGGCTGGGGATGTGGCTCAGTGGTTAAGTGCCCCTGGGTTTAATCCCCAGTACCAAAAAAAAAAGAAGAACGCTCCTATCTCAATGCACTTCTACCTCAGCCATTGGCAGCCTGGTCCAGAGAGCCAGTGAGCCAGTGAGCCAGTGGGTGCAGCAAGGCAGGGCCACCAAGGCTGCTGAGAGAAGGAAGGGACCCTCCTCTCCATCCCAGACCCTGCTCCTCCAGCAGATTAGGGAATTCTTCACAGACAAGGCCACACACTGTCCTACCAAGGGACCAGAACGTAGGTGATCAGGTCTGTGTGCCCTATGCGGGTCCAGTTCTCCAAAGATCCATGATTTTACAGAACCTGCTCACAGAGCCCAGGGAGAAGCCTGCTGGAAGCCCCCTTCAGATTCCGGAATCAGCCTACAGTCTGACCCGCCACTTCAATCTTGAGGCACGGAGCCTGGGGTCACAACCAAGACCAGCTGCCATCCCTGCACCCTAACTGAGGGGCCCTCAAGACAGCAGGCTGGAGGGCCCTTGGTTCTAAATATGGCACCTTCCCCCTGCATCACAATGCCCCCACATCAACGTCCCAGGGCTGGGAGCAGTGACTCTGGAGAAAGAAAGCAGCACACTACCTAGAGTGCACTGTTGCTCCAACCCTGACGTGATGTGGCAAGACCTACCAATCCTCAAGACTACTAGGTGTGGCAAGCACCTGGCACTGTTGTTCCTTGAAGCTGACAGAAAGAAATCACAAGCTGGGGATGTGGCTCAAGCGGTAGTGTGCTTGTCTGGCATGTGCGGGGCACTGGGTTCGATCCTCAACACCACATAAAAATAAAAATAAAGATACTGTGTCCACCTAAAACTAAAAAATAAATATTTAAAAAAAAGTCACAAGCCCGAATGTCACTCACCACACAGCAGGATGGAGCCCAACAAGGATGAGGACCCAGGCCAAGTGGGCTGCTTACCCCCTGCCAACAGGCACCACAAACCATGTTCCAGCCCCCCCCACAATCCCCTAGGGAGGACACGTCACTCTCCACCCCAGGCCAGCCCAGCTCCCACTCAGCGCGGGGCTCGGCAGGACTGACTCTGTGCCCCACTGCCTGTAGTCTAGCGAATGAACTTCTGGTTTTATGTTCAAATCTGAGCCTCACTGGACTGGAAGGTCCTTGGAGAGCAACAGCAACACCCCAAGATCTATCGCTCTGTTTCTCTGGTACCCTATGTAGCACATGGGGTAAAAACTTCACTTCTCAGCCAATGGACAGAAAGATTGGTGCCAGACACTTAATGGGGAGTTCATTCCCTCTGCCTCCCCTCCCAGGGCACAAGCTTTCTAGGAGCAGGGGCGTTACCTTGTACATATCATCAGTCCAGTGCTCAGGACAAGGTAGACATTTACTCACTGGCTGTCAAGTGAATGAAAGCATGGACTTTACATGGCTACAGCCATTTTTACTTTTAAGAAAATCCTACACAGTCCGACTGTTGAAAACTAATAACACTGAAAGCTATTACTGACAATATAACTTTTTTTGTTGTTTTAATAAAAGCCTTACAACAATGATTCCTTTCGATGTCAAGGTCCCTGAATAATCTAATATACAAGAATCCCATTTGCACACAGATTCTAGGAATGAACCACCAAGGGGAGGCACATCTAGGCCCAGGAAACAGCAAGTCTAACTCTGATATTTGCTGCTGATTCATGAATAAATGTGATTCCTCATGTCCTGTCTACACCTGGCCTTCCTTCCAGTGTCCATATGAGTTGGCAGGAAGTCCTAGGAGCCAGAGAAAACAGCAAGGTTGGTTGGGCGCACAGAAGTAAGTCTCCCTACACTCTGCTTCAGAGCACCATGAAGAGCTACTGCACAGCTACAGAGCCTGGGCTGGGCTGGGCTGGGGCAGCGGCTCTGGGCCAGCTCAGAGGGAAGAAAATCCTTTGCTTATCTTGTCTGCCCCACAGCAGGCAGCATGTGGCCATCTCTCCCACATTCCACAGTGTTTAGAGAAACACCTGGGCACCTGTCCCAGCTGCTTCTATTCTTCCAGGACTCAGGGAGGAGAATGGTGCTTGAACTGTCACCAGAAGACCTGTGCAATAACCTCATGCTCTGCATATGGTATTCCTAAGAAAAAGTCTGAGCAACAGGAGGCAAAGGCCTGCCTGAGATAGCCTGGAGGACAGAAAGCCTGTGCTCCCTCGACCTGTGGGGACAGTAACTGGACATGTGAGAAAGGCAGAGGAAGGGAGGAAAGGAAGCAGGAAGCACGCCTGTGATCCCAGTGGCATGGGAGGCTGAGGCAGGAGGATCTCGAGTTCAAAGCCAGCCTCAGCAAAAAGTGAGGAGCTAAGCAACTCAGTGAGACCCTGTCTCTAAATAAAATACAAAATAGAGCTAGGGATGTGGCTCAGTGGTCACGTGCCCTTGAGTTCAATCCCCAGTACCAAAAAACAAACAACAACAACAAAAAAAGGGGGGGGGTGCTTAAAAACAAAGGCCCTGATGGAGTTACATGAACTGGATCTGAATCTTGGCTGTATTCATTGCTCTTTGGCTGTGTAAGCTCAGATAACACATTTAACCCCATTGTTCCTCAGTTTCTTCATCTATACAATGGGAACAGTGACACAGACCTTACAGAAAGGCAGTGATGACTGCATATGAAAAGCTTGAAGTACCCCACACAGTATGGGCACACATTCTCTCCCCAGCTTAAAGATCAGGAATGGGATTCTCGACAACTTTGCCAGTTATTAAGATAAATAAGAAAAAAATGCACTGAAATGCCCTATAGGCTGCAATGTGTGGAAACATACTTAAAGGATCACTGCTGGCCAAGCAGCAGACTCCAAAATGGCTCTTCAATCAGCAGGGGTAGGGTGGGCTCCCTTTCCACATAAGCCCAGAACCACTGCAGCAGTTAAGAGGCTGGCCTGGAGGTCCCATGCCTCTGGCCCCACTAGAGCTGACATGGGTATCTGCAACCTCCCAGTGGACAAACAGAAAAATCAACACCCAAAAGAAAGCGATTAAAATAACAGGACATCAGGAGCAGTTTTAAGCCCTGGGCTCAACCCATCTCACCGGGCCACCGCCACCGTTCCATACCTCAACCTTCCCCACACTGCCCTGGCCCGGCCCACCGTCAGGGCCTCTGACACCAGGGGCTGCAGTGTACTCAGGAGAGATTCGGGTCCAGAGGGAAAAAGATCACACAGCTGGTGGGCAGAACCTGGGCTTTTGGAGATGGCGGCCTCCCCGCAATCCAACTGACCTTGGCCTCAAGAGCTCCAGGCGGCAGCTGTCTTTTAGCTGCACCTGTGCTCGCCAGGGCCGGGCTGGGGCTGGGCCAGGGTTAACTGTGATAGCAACGCCTAAGCAACCGGCACCGGGCTCCGCGGGGCTGAGCCGAGCATCTCGCCGACTCCTCGCGGTCTCCTCCGAGTGGGCGCTCGCTGATCTCACGAGAGGAAGGGCTTGCTTCGGCCAGGCTAGGGGGGACCCTGCCCGGGCTCTGGGGCCTTGGCTTCCCTCCTCTACTCCGACCCGTGCCCCGCCCAGGTCCGGCCGGTGCACGGCCCGGGGACACGCACGTGGGGCCGAGGCCAGCACGCGCCGGGTCACGTGACGACCGGGGCCTCAGGGCGCCGAGGCAGTTGGGGGTCCGGGCCTCCCCGCACCCGGCGGCCGCCTCCCCTCCGCCCCGCCTCGCGCTACTCACCCCGGGCGGGGGCTCCCGGGGCTGGGAGAAGGGGACTGGGAAGAGCGGGTGAGGGCGGCGGTGAGGACCCTAGAGCCAGCCGCAGCTCCGCCGGTCCACCAGACGCGACACCTCGCGGCGCGCGCTGCCTTTGTCCGCACACGTCACTTCCGGGCGCCCGGGGGCGGAGCCATGCGCAGCCCCGCCCCGCGACCAGCTCGCCCGGTCCCGCGGGCTGGGACCTAACCTTTTGCCTGCGGGGAGGAAATCTCCGCCTTAAGGACTGAAGGCCGCAGCGCTGGTCTCCCCCGACCTCCGCACGTGCTCCAGTTTAGTCGGAGGCTGCCAGGCTGGACTTTAAAAACGAGTGACAGGGGTTTTCCACTGGGAAAAAAGGGGGGGAAGGGCCACTGGTGCTCACCCATCTCCATTACCATCTTAAAATATAAAAAAAAAAAAAAAGAAGGAAAAGAAAAACACTTGGTTGTGCCAGGGACCTGCCAGCCCAATATACAGAACAATTCATGGACTTTCCATTCCAAAAACGTTGACCTTCCTTAGGACCCTCCATTCACAGAAATTTTGGAGGGATCTTTCCGTGTTGGAAACGTGAACTTGCAGGTAGGTAGACACTGTTAACCTCTCCCAGCGTCAATCTCCTCTTCTGCCAGATGAATGTAATAATTACTAGACTTCCGATGATATTGCACCATGTGGGATATTGCACGTCCAGCCTTCAGGAAATGGTAGCTGTTATAATGACAATATTCATCTTAATAAGTTCATTTCCCTCAAAATAACATCTTGATGTTAGATTTACAACGCTTTCCTCTCAGCTGTGCACACAAGAAGTGCTTAAAAAGTGTGTTTGCTTTAATGCAATGAAAAGTGGGGAGTGCTGAAAGTCCCACCTGCCATTAAGTCCCCTAAATCTGCTTATGTACATGTTTCAGGGGATCCCCTCTAGTCTAGGCCACTCCTGGTTCTCCTGGTCTGGGCCCCTCTCTCAAGCTTCATTTTCCATGTTTCTGGAACAGATCCTAGGCAATTTTGATTGCTGGAGGTGTCTAAAATCCTTTTTTTGGGAGGTAGCTCTAATCCAAGCTCTCACATGCCTCAAAATCCACCCATACTGTATTTCCTGACAATGGAAGAGAATGCCCTTCTCCACACTCAGGCTGCAAGCCATTTCCAGGTATAACCAGCCCCCTGACCTCAACGCTTCTCACATCTCTGAATTTCCAAACCTAGCACATAGTAGTGGCTTAATAAATGTTTGCAGACTGCAAGGGTTAGAGGACGCATAGAAACCTGCAGGGTTTCTGTTCTCGCGACTAAAGGCTCAGGGGTCACTCTAGTTAAACTGGGCTAACTGGGCTGCACGAAATAACCACACAAGAGACACAAATACCTTTTTCTTTGGGGTAGCTGTGACAGCTCCTCTGACCTTAAGGGTCCGCAGAAAGAGAGAGCTAGAGCACGCGCTGACCACTTTTATTGAGGAGAAGCTATTCAAATGAGGCAAGGGGTCAGGTTTCAGGGGGCTGAGTCTATCTTCAGGATGTCCACTGTCAGCAGGTTGATTGACACCTGGGTAGGCCACACCCAAGGGCACAGTAAGAGAAGGGGACACACACAAGGCACTTCCATGGAAGATTCTATCCTAAACAGGGCAAGGGGTTATATTACAAAGGAACAGGTGAGCATAGCTTCACCCATGGGGCTGTAGCAAGACACACCCATTTCTGTGACTGAGCGCCTCAGCACCCAGCTGGGGAGTGTAACTCAGTCACCCGTAAGGTTGGCCTCCCACAGAAACCATCTAGTTAATGTTCTTTGCCCATTTTTTTAATCTCACACCTTTTAAATAAATACAGACATTTCTGTCTCTCCCGCTTGATATTCCAGCTTCCAGAGGAAACATGCCTCTCCAAACCTAGCCAAGGAGCTTTACAAACAATGGATTACAGCCTAGGTGTGGTGGCGCACACCTGCAATTCAAGCTGCTGAGGAGGCTGAGGAGGGAGGATTTCAAGTTCAAGGCCAGCCTTGGCAATTCATCAAGACCCTGTCTCAAAACTGAAAAATAAAAAGGGCTGGGGATATAGTTCAGTGGCACAGTGCCCCTGGATTCAATCCCCAGCACTGCAAAAGAAATAAAGAAAAAAGAAAATGGAGTACATCTTTTCGGATGTCTCCTCCAGGTGGATGCCCTGTAATTTGGATGACAGTCATTTTCAAGTTATAAAATTATAACATGCCTGTAAAATACTTGCCTAAACCATATCTTGTACAATATCATGAATTTCCTCCCTGCCCTCTCCCAGCCAAGAGTCACAGATCGGTCCTGTCGGTTTTCCCATGGAGCCCTGAGAAGGGAGAAACTTGTTCAGCATCATGTCTCAAAAAGAATCAGGCATGGACTTGAGATTGGTTGTCTGAGTTTCCAGGCCCCCTTATGTTCTGTTCCCATTCCAGGTGGATCTTCCACTTCGGAGCCACCCAGCCAAACATGACCCACTTGGGTTTCCTGGATGTGGAAGGGGTGGGTGACTCTAGACCTTCCCTTCCCTGCTTAGGCCTGGCTGCCCTGACCAGGAGTGCCAAAGCCACCTGTGGCTGCAGCCTGGCACCCAGGGCACAAGGGCCCCGCCCTCTGTCTCCAGGCTTCAGTGTCCACTGTTCCTCAAATAGCCATGGGTGAGGACAGGCGGATCACAATGACTCTGAAGATGCCCAGGAGGCAGCTGGGAGGGGCTGGCAGAGGGACTATGCAGGGGAAGATGGACTCTTCTAAGGACCAGCTTGTTAGAGGGCTCTAACCTCAGGGACTTCGCTGGCCTCACTCAGAATCCCCAGCAGGGTGAGTGTGATGACACCTAGGAGACAGCTTGGGGCTGCCAACAATCTGGGCGTGGGGTGTGGTGGGGAGAGAGTAGGCTCGGAGACCCCCAGTATTAGAACCAAGGGGGTGACTGAGGCTCTGCCTCCCTAAGGGAATGGGGTTTGTTATAAATGAGTCTTGACTTGGGATGTAGTTTGGTGGGAGGCCCCAGTTGATGCCCAACGCCCCTGCCCCCCAAATTGTCTTAGCTCCACTCCAGACACAAAATCGGAATCTGGCGTGGGAGATGGGGGGAAATTCAGTATATTTTCAGCAAGCTCCCACTGCGGAGGGGTGCCGGTGGGGTATTCTAATGCACCACAGGGATCGGGAGACTGCTGGGGGAGGGGGTCTCTCCTCTTTTCAGGATGGTTCCAGGTTTCCTGGTTCCCAGTGGAGCGCTTACAGTAATAGCCTCCACCATGCTAAGTGCTGTCTACGAGCGCCGGGCCATTTCACAAAGAGACAGGTGCCCGCCCTGCACACACACACACACACACACACACACACACACGTTCCACGGAGCAGCACACCGAGAGAGTGCTCGGAGAAATTCATTGGCTCACCCAAGGTGAGGAGTGGAACCAAGACCCCGAGTACTAGTCATTTTGAGCCTAATAAGAATGGCGGCTGCCCTGGTTGAGTATGTAACTGGGCCTGGCACTATTCTAAACGACGGACATGTACTTGCTCATGTCAACGTCACAGCAACCCAAAAAGGTGGGTACTCTTGCCGTCACCACTTTTCCAGGTGAGGGAACTAGGGGCTGAGCGGGTTCTAGCCTGAGGCCACTCTTTGTCGCCGAGCCGGTGGCATTACCACCAAGCCACACTGCCCCACCGGGGCGCCCGGGGCTGTCCTATGCGCACGCCGCCCACCACCCAGGGTGGCGTGAGGACGTCCTGAGCTGAGCTCAGCGCCCAGCATGTTTCGGCGTCACCCCGTCCGGAGGGCCCAGCAGGTGGCGCCCAAGAGGTGTCCCAGCGCTGGCGAATGGCCGAGACCCCAGGTGCTGCCCAAGCTGCCCTCGCTGGAGCGCCGAGCCGGCTACGGCGCGGGGCGCGCGGAGGTCTCGCAGGCCTCCAGGGCCTCCTCCTCGTGGTGGCAGGGGTGGGACAGCGAGCCCGGGCCGGGTGCCGGGAGCCCCCAGCTGCGCCTGCCCACCCTGCACACCGTGACCTCGCGGGCGGCGCAGGACCGCGCGGCGCTGAGGTCCCTGCTGCTGCCGCCGTTGCGCAGGACCGACAGGTCCTGGGGGTCCGCGTGGCGGCTCCCCGAGCCCGGGCAGGGCCAGGACCCCCAGAGGAGCGCGGCCGAGGAGGACTCTCTGGGCGCGCTGCTGGAGGAGTTCCTCCCCAGCAGGTTCAGCGAGTTCCTGCACCAGTTGCGACAGGAGTGTGCCGAGCAGCCCGAGCCGCAGAGTGAGGCCGGGGCCCGGGCGGGGGGCGTTTTGGGGGGGCGGGGGCTGGGCCCCTGGCTCGCCACCCCGCTGCTCCAAGGCTGGTGCGGAGGATCTCACGAGGTCTCGGGACCCTCCCTGATGGTCTGTGGTCTCCCCAGGGTCATAAAAGTAGAGGCTCCTAGTAAGGACTGCCCCCTAGCTCACAAGCACTTCCTCCTCCTGGCTCTCAGTGTCCTCAACACGGCAATATCAAAAGCGTCTGTTCCATCCCAGACGAGGTTCTTCTCAGTGTCACACCTGCCCATATCTCGCAGACCCGTGGTAAGTGTCAGGGACCTTCTTGGTGGGGACCCGGTGGCCATGGATACTTAACAGGTTGGGAGACCCTAACCATCTGACCACTCATGCTAGGTGTGGCCTATTTGTCTTCAAGGGGCCAGCCATCGCACTTCCACGACAATTTTAACAAGATTTTGCTCCATCAGACACCTTCCCAGGATCACCAAAAGGGTAATCCATCACAAATCACCACGGGCAGAAACACCAACCAGTGAGTTGGGAGGCGGGATAGTGGTAGGGAGTGGGGTGGAAGGGTATTTCTTTCCTCCCTTACTTCCTGTCTTTTACTCATGAATTTATCCATTCATTCACCTGTCCATCCATCCATCTGTCCATCCATCCATGTGTCCATCTATTAATCAGGTCTTTTAACAATGCATTCCTAATTCATCCTTGAGCTCATTCATATACCCACCTCCCTTTCACTCACCCTTCCCTGCGCATGTCAAATGCATGAACCAGGTCTGCTCAACCTATTGGTGAATCTTGCCAGCCAGCCAGCCATCTATTTACCAACTCCCCGGGTTCTATCCTTCCATCCGTTGATCAACAATAACCTTCTACAATCCTTCCTTTCACTTGTAAATCCTGGACACTGTCCATCCCTCATTGAGTCATGACCCTTCCACAAATCGACATGCCCATCTGCATATTCATCCAGCCCCCATCATTCATCTAGCGTTCACCCTTGGATCAGTCTTTCCTTTCAGATCTGTGCGTCGATCCAACAGCCCATCCGTCAAACCATCCATCTTTTTCCCCATCCCGCCATCATTTATTCATTTCTTCAAACTTTTATTGGGTTGACTATGTATCAAATATTAGTGGAGAAAATAAGAGATGGGAAGTAAGAGAAGAGCCTGGCAGAGGAGCTTCCCTGGGCCTGGATGCCAGAGATGAGTGTAAAGTCCAGGCAGCCCAGAGACACACCACATATCCCACCCCTCCCACAGACCACGGCAGACAGCACTAGGGGATCACAGCCTCAGAATCCTTCCTGACCCAGTTCTCCACACAGACACTACTAAGGGATCAGAGTAGGACCATAAATGAAACACATTCACCAGCTTCTCACAAGATGCCACCAAGAATGGGTGGAACTCGGCAGGCACAGTCCAGACTTGCACATTCAAGAGCCTATACTCAAGCAACTCCCAGGTGTGAGGTTTCCTGTGGGGGACACTGAAGTGCAGCAGAACAGGCTCCAGAGACCCTCCATGGAGGCAGAGACACCGATCTCAGGCTGCAGGCAGATTTGGGGAGGGCTTTCGCTGGCCCTGTGGCCAGCACAGAGCCGAGTTCCAAAGCCCACAAGTGTTGACAAGCTTGGTCCCGACCAAGGCACTGTCAGGCACTGACCAAGACAGCCAGGCACTGTCCTTGTCATCCCAGCAGCCTGGCTCTTGGTGGGCCAATGAGAAGCAGCCCCTCTGCATCCACATGAAAATGTGGTCAGATAAATGGATGCAAACACATAAATACATGGAGGATGTCAGGCCATGGGTGGACGAATAATAAATTTCACATTACTTTTTTTTTTTTTTTGTACTGGGAACTGAACCCAGAGGCACTTAATCACTGAGCCACACCCCCAGCCCTTTGTATTTTTTTTTTTTCTTTTTTTTTTTAATATTTATTTTTCAGTTTTCAGCGGACACAACATCTTTGTTTGTATGTGGTGCTGAGGATCGAACCCGGGCCGCGTGCATGCCAGGCGAGCACGCTACCGCTTGAGCCACATCCCCATCCCAGCCCTTTGTATTTTTGAGACAGGATCTCACTAGGCTTAGGGCCTCACTGAATTGCTGAGGCTGGCCTTGAACTGGTGATCCTCCTGCCTCAGCCTCCCCAGTTGTTGGGGTGACAGGTGTGCACCACTATGCCTAGCTCTTGTGCTACGTTTAAACATAACAGATACACTTTATCGAGCACAAACCCCATGCCAGGCCCTGGATTAGATGCCTCACTTGACACTCATCCAACTCATATGAGGATGGTATTATCGTGCCTATAATATAGAATACACAATTTAAAGGAGAAAATTGCAGAATGGAGAGCTGAGGGCAGTCTGCTTTGGGACACGTGCATGGGACAGGGCTTGATTGAGATGGACAGACATAGAACACCACCCACCTGGGGGTGTTCCTGCTGGGCCAGCAGACCATGCCTGGTGGCATCCTCTTGCACCTATGCCGCATCTTTGCTATTCTGAGGCGTGCACAATTCCATTTCACATGTGAGGAAACTGAGGCTCGCAACAGTCAGGATTGAAACCCAGGACCACCTGGTGCCTGGGCATGAGTTCTGACCCTTTCTGCTAACTTGGTGCAGATCTCAGATCCACCGCTTTCCAGCTGTGTAGCCTTAGACACTTTGCAAAGTCTCTGCACCTCAGTTTCTTCATCTACAAAATGGACAGAAAAGGCATGTCCTGTGAGGGAGTGTGGGTTTGGTGGGTGGAGTGTGGGTTTGGTGGGTGTTTTCCACTGGATCACGACCTACAGGTGGGAAATGCTTGGCCAAGGCCAGTGGCGGTGACTAGGGCTATTCTGCTACCTTGTCTTACAGACAAGGGGCAAGGCCACCTGTCCAGGATCACACCGAGAGACTGGGCCTGGGGATGTGTGTCAAGTGGAGTGGGGGGCTCCACACTCGGCCCACTGCCCTCACTGCTCTCTCCTCAGGCTCCACAACACACAGGTCCCCAAGACCAGAGCCCCCAACTCCTCTGGGGAAGGCTTGGGGCACCGCAGGCGCTGTTGTCCTTTACGGGTCCGATTCGCTGACGAGACCCTACGAGACAGCACACTCCGCTACTTGGAGCGACGCTGTACAGGTAAGCAGGCAGAATGGAAAGCTCCAGGATTCCAGATTCCACATCCTGGAGTGTGGAGGGCAGAGCCTGTGTGTGAATCTGGGCTCCCAGAGTCAAGGGCTGGCCACTGACCCTGCAGAGGAAGTCCTCTCTGGAGGGTGTCAGCAGGGTGACCTTCAAGGACCAAGCAGAGTGTCCCACGGTATGTAGCATCAGGGAGCAACTGCAGAATGACCCAGGAAACAAAGGCTGCCCAGGCCTGGCGACCACTAAAGGATTTCTGACCGCCTGATTGCACCTTGGCACACATCTCCTGCACACAGCCTGGAAAAGGTCCAGAAGCCACCAGAAGAGGACACCTCTCTGCTGGGGACACTGGCACCAACAGTCCAGCAGAATCTCAGACCCACCAAGCGCAGGGTCCCAGGCAGAAGCTGGCTCTTGGCTCTCGGGGACGGCTGTGATGATCCGAGTTGGTACGGTTTCCAGGAAGCTCACTCAGGTGGAGGCAGGAGCAGGAGCAGGAGCAGGAGGGAGAAGGAAGCCCTTGCCCTGGAGTCACCATCATGGAGTCCACCTGCTCCGTGTGTCCAGCCTCTTCCCAGCACCCGCCAGCCCAGGGCTTCTGGGGGCAACACCCTGGAGCTATTTCCTGAGCATCGGCTCTGTGCAGTTTCAGGAAGTAGCTGCCCCCAACTCCACTGTTAGTTGTCCTACAGACTAGGACATGTGCTGGTTCAGGAGGGACCCCATTCAGTCTCCTTAGAGTCCCAGGAAGTTGGAGACCAAAGCTGTGGTTTTCACCCAACTCCTTGTTGTTTGATGGGGAAAGCAAAGCAGAAGGGGCTCACGGAGGTGACATCGAAGCCAGGAATAGAAGCCAGAGTGTCCCTGGAAACCCAAGGACAGGATAAGCCTGAATGGCAGTTGGGAGACACTTCTGTATGGGCCACTGGCCACAAGGAGCTGTAGCTGTACCTCAGGGCACCAGGGCCCAGGGCTCACTAGCCCGGTCCATCCCAAGGCAGTCACTGCCGGATTCCGGGTCCTGACCAGCTTGAATGGCGGCTTTGGGATGGGGAAAGGCTCCCAGCTTGGAGACGCCCCTCCCTGCCTCTCCTCAGGATTCTCAGTATTGTCTCTGGGATGGCTGTGGTGGGGTGACCGGCCTTCCCTCTGCAGGAAAGGGGGTCTGTTGGGGCTGGAGCTAGAGTGTGGGTATTGGGGGCACAGCTTGGGTGGTAGCAGCAGAACAGTCACGCAAAGCAGTTGTAAAACCCAAGCCTTCTCTAGAGCAGCCAGAGGCACTGGGGAGCCTGGGGTTGCCATGGAGACAAGGCTCTGCCCGGCCTTGCCTGCCAGGGGGAGGAGGGAAGGGGGTACCAGTGTCCCCTTAGGGTAAGGACTCACGATGCCCTCTCTCCTCCAGTCCCGAACAACATCAAGAGCAGGACCACCCTGCTGCCGGAGGTCTCCAACCAGGCGTTCGGGAACGTTCAGAAATGGCTGGAGAATTTGCCCAGAGCCCTGCCCCCCAGGGCCAAGGAGGAAGCCAGGCCCAGCGCCTGGTGCTGGGACCGCCCCCGCCTGTGAGGCTTAGGGGAAGGCGGGGGACTCACAAGCACTGACTGGGCTCTGCCCCTGCAGCCCTCCCCGTTTAGCAGCAGGAGGGCTGGGGTCCCAGCCTCGGGTGGACCGGACTTGGGGTCCACAGAGCTCACAGCTCCTGTCTCCCCCAGACTGCGCCAGGAGCGGCAGGGCTACCTTTCTGAGGACGCCTCAATGAAGAACAGACTGCCAGGGCCACTCACCTCCAGGGCCACCACCCAGAGGCAAAGGGGGGCCCTCAGAAACTCCCTGGATACCCCCAACATCCTGGATCAGGTGGGCAGACTGCCCTGCTCCTGGAGGCCACAGCTGGTGAGCACCTGCTGGCAGCTGCCACCCAGTGCTCCACGTGTGACCGCGGGGGCTCGCAGTGGCCGGGACCGTGTTCAGTTCCTGCGTCTCCCTGGAGGTGCGGCAGGAGGGGTGGGCGCGAAGCTCACAGGCTGGCCTGGCCCCAGCTGCGCCCGCAGGCCCTGGCGCCTGTGCGCCTCTCAGTTGCCTCATCTGTAGCAGGGGGCTAGGGCACGGTCCGAATCCTGCTGGCCCCAGGCAGCCCTGCCTCTTGCCTGAGGTCCCTGCAGCGCCCAGCTGGTCCTCCTCACTCTAGGAGTCCTTCCTGCCCAACTTGGTGCTGCAGTCCATCCTGAAGCGAGGCCGCCCCAAGGGCTACCAGCTCCTCCTGCCTCCCACAATCCTGCAGCAGGTTCAGAGGTGAATGCCCACCGGAGCCCCAGCCCAGGGGAGCACACAGTCCAGGCAGTGAGGAGAGTCTCCCTTGCCCCACAAATAAACGCACATTCCAGGTGGCTGGGATCTGCCACTAGGTCTCAGTTCGAGCCTCTCAGGTGCCTGCTTTGGGGTCCTGCTTTGGGGTCTCCAGGGTTCCGGGGCTGGGGGAGCAGCAGGCTAGAATCACAGCAGGGATGGCTGAGAGGTGGGGCCATAGAGTCCTTTTGGTCAGGTCTTGTTCCCAGAACCTTCCTTCTGGAAGTGGGAGACCCTGCACAACCTCAAGCCTGGAGCGCAGCCTCGGGGGACCTAGGCCAGCTCACACTTGAAAGGGGTCCCAGCTACGTATGCTCTGGGCCGGGGGTGAAGAATAACACCCCTTTTCCCCAACTCTGTCTTTGGTGCCAGAGGCTGCTCTGTTGACCTCCCTCTATGGGGTAAGTACATCCAGACCCCAGCCCAGGAAAAAAAGCCCTGTGTGTGGACAAACATTAGCTTGGAACCTTTCCAGGTGGGTTCACGGTGACCTGATCCACAGAGGGCAAGTGTGGGGCAGTCTGTGCGTCCTGTGCAGTGTTCCAGAGGGAAAGACAAGGTGGTAGGTGCTGCGCGGATTTATCTGGTGGCTGTGCTGACCCTGCCGTCCCCATACACCTGGGTGCCAATCCCCAGACAGAGCCTTAGCCCGCTCCTCATCTCTCCCTGAAGCTGCCCTTGCCCCCAGCCCCTGGTCCTAGTCAGGATCCAGGTCTTTATCGCCACCTCGCGGCCAGTGAGGAATCGTCATGGGACACACCGTAGGCACCTTGTTGAAAAGGAAACGGGTTACTCTGGTGGGATTTGGATTGGACAGCGGCTGGTGGGTAACCTTGAGGTCCGGATGGGTTGTGCATGTCGTTGGCCTTTCATGGAGAGGCGCCTGGCTCTCCAAGAGAGGCAACTGGCAGATCTGGCTCAGGCCCCGGGAGGTCTCTCCCCGCGTCTGGCTGCCCGGACTTTCACACCAGCCCTTCTCCATGACCCAGGATGCAATGTCCTGGAGAGCCGGCGGGTCCCGGGGGAGCGGGATTCTACCGCACCTCCTCCGGTGACCTTGAACCGCCCTCCGCGCCCGCTCTGCGCCTCAGTTTCCCCGGCCGGCCGCCGGCTGCAGCTCCCCGCGCGCCCACGCGGGGGCAGTGTTGGCCTGGCTTTGGCGCCGCCCGGCGCGGCCGCAACTTCTCACCGTCGCTCGGGGTCGGAAACTTTTCCCCTCGCGCGGCGCCGGCTGCGCGGCCCGCTCCCCTCCTGCGCGCCCGCCCGCTGCGTCCCTCCGCCGCACCTGCAGCGCCGCCGCCCGACCCGGGAGGCGCGCGCCCCTGCCTCCCGCGCGCTTTGTTGTTGTTGTCCTTGTCGTCGAAGCTGCTGACCCTAAACTGCTCAGCCGCGGCAGCGCGGAGGGCACCGAGCCTGGAGGCCGAGGCCGCTCCCAGCGCCGGTCCGGCCGGTGCTCTCCAGGAGCCTCTGCGGGGCTCCAGCGCGGCGCGAGGGGACCCGGCCCGCAGCCACTGCCCGCCGGTGTCCGCCTGCCCCGCGCCGCTGACCGGACGTGAGACTACAACCAGAGGACGCTGGGTCGCATGGCCGGCTGCCCACGGATCGCGCACACGTGCGGGGACACGCGCGGGCACACTGACACGCACGCGGGGACGCGCGCCACACCCACAGGCACACCGCGCACGCACGCACACCCATACAGACGCCACCTCGAGCGACAGCAACCCCCCCCCCCCAGAAGCACCCGCCAAAGGCACACGCCAGGGAGGCGCAACGCGGGCAGGGGCGACCCACCGCCCAAGCAGGAACCGGCACTCCACGATGACATTCAGGGAGGCAACACGTCCCTCAGAGACACCCTTCACAGAGCCACACACATCGCACACTGGTGTGGGCCCCACGGACACGCCCTGTGCACACCTGCAGCCCTGGGCCTCGCACCTGCTTTCAGACCCTCTCACAGCCACGGCCTCTCAGGGACCCCAGTTCCCCATATTTGGGGATCACCTTTTCACCCTGAGACCTCAGATACCTTCCATCCGGTCTCTGGCTTGGGGAGGGACCTGTCTGCCCAGCCACGTGACCCCCTGCAAGCAGAGCCAGAACTTGGGGAGACCCAGCTGGGGGTGAGGAGGGCAGGTGGAGTGTTACAATGGGGGTTGGCCCTGTCCCTCATCCTCCCTCGTGGTGACCCTGAGCCCCCCAGGGTTCCAACAGGGCCTTTTTCACTGGTACATTTCCGCTCAGGGCTAGCCATCTGCCAGCCTGGGCTCCCGGGAGTGGCATGGCTGCAGGAAGGCTGGAAAATTCCTGCTCCCCCAGACTCAGGCTGCCTGTGACACTGGTCCCCTACCACCTAACTCTGGGCAGCCAGAGCCCAGGCCTTGCCACCCAGACCCTATTGTTGGGCACTGGCAGCCCCAGGGCCAGGCCAGTGAGGGCGGTGGACACTGGGTTGACACGGGGAAGAGGTGGCAGGAAAGTCGCTGCTCTTTTCTCCAGAGTGCTCCCACCTCAGAGCCTCTGTGCCCTGCAGGGTGGCTGCTTTGTCCCCTTTGCCAATGAGGAAACTAAATCCCCCAGAGGCTGTGCGCCATGTGATCTGTGAGGAGCTAGAGTCCTACCATCCCCAAGGTGTCCTGCCACAAAGCCCCCAGCCACGCACAGGAGTGGCCTCAGAAGCTGCTCTCAACAGAGCCACTTGGTGGGGAGATGGCAGCCCAGAGAGGTCCAGCTCTTTGTCAAGGTCACACAATACTGAGTGTTGGAGTCAGCATTCAAACTCAGCACCTCCACTGCACGCACTGCGGGCAGGGGGCCTCCCAGGGTGCATGGGGCAGGGTGCGGTCTGGGGGACCCTGCCTGCAGCATACAGGGTACTTCAGAGGCAGGGAGAATCAGGACAGAGTCGGGGAGGGAGAAGGACCTATTAGGAGAAGGTGGAATTCGAGAGAACGTGGAACCCCACAAGCAGAACGGGGGCCAGGGGTCCGTGGGAGCAGGAAGCCTGCAAGTTTCCCTCCAGGGCAGGCGGACCCCAGGGAAGACCCAGGAAGGCTGAGGCCAGGCAGGGCCAGCGGGGGAGGTGGGCAGTGGGGCTCTCTGGCGATGTGGAAGCCAGGTAGGGCCAGCCCCAGGCGGCCTCCAGAGACACCGAGTGCCCTGTGGGCTCAGTGACTGTCAATCTGCTGGTGGCTCAGGGAGCGCTGTTATGGTTCTAGTCCCAGTGTGGGGGTCTGAGGAGGTGGGGCCAGAGAGTGATCGGTCATGAGGGTGGAGTCCCCTGAATGAGTAGAGTGCCCTCTGAAGGGGGCGGCCATCTGGCTGGCCAAGAGAAGACCCAGCAAGGAGCCAGATGTCCCAAGGGGACACTCACCAGAGCCTGCCGTGTGGGCCCTGATCTCAGACGTCAGTCGCCAGACTGTGAAGAATAAATTTCTGTTGCTTAGAAGCCACCGGGCTGTGCCACAGCCACTGCAGTGGACGAAGACAAGCATGGCTGTCCCCTACGCATGCGTGAGGGGCCCTGGGCTCGCAGCCGGTGCAGGCAGCTGGCCTGCCCTCAGGAGCCTGCGGTCAGCTGGGGACATGCACTCTGGTAGTCCACGCTATGGCAGGAAGCCTGTGGCTTTGAGAGACCAGAGGGGTCCCAACCCTTCTGCCAGCAGCAGGGTGGGACACTGAGCCAGACCCAGGGAGGAGATCATCCTGTCACAACTCGGGGGGAGGGGGCACGGGGTGGTAGTTTTGTTGACAGGGCAGGGGACAGGCTGGTGTCTCCCCAGCTTGGACAGAAGCACACTCAGTCCCCCTCTGCCTCTCTGGGTCTTTCTGTCATGACCTCCCAAATACGCCCTGAGTGGCAGATGGCCTGCAGCTTGCAGGGGCTCCTGTGGGAGGGGATGGAACTTCTCCTTGCAGACCCGGGTCACCGCCTCCAGGCAGCCCATCCGTACAAGTGACCCATTTCATTTCACTTCTGGACCATTCGGGCCCTTCAGAGCCAGCCTTGGGTGCTGCCGGGTCAGCCGGAATCAGGGCTCAGGACCCCAGGCCAGGTGGCGCTGGGGCACTGGAACTTTTCTGGGCAGTGAGCCTTGGCTGTGAGGAGCAGCTGTCTGTCCTCCCACCATGGAGCTGGAGGACCCTCAAGGACTGCCCTGCTAAGGTTCTCCTAGCTGAGAGGACCTCAACTCCCAGGACGCCCCCCGCTGGGCTCTGAGCAGACTTCCAGCTCTGGGGACTGAGATCCAGTGATCCCCTTCCTGCAGGGACCTCCTGGACCAGAAGCACACTGTCCAGAGGGAGCCTCTCCACAGGAGGGATGGGAACAGGTGGCCCCATGTTAATTAGGAAAACTGGGACTCAACAAGGGCAAGATGGACCAGGCCTGCTCACCCAGCGCTCAGGTCCAGCGGAAATCACTAAGGAGCTGCGAAGAAGGCCCGAGAAGGTTCGACGCACACACTCCCATGCCAAGAGCTTACCTCCCCTTCAAAGAGGGCACAACTCTGGGAAGTAGACACTAACCCTCCAGATGGAGAAACCAAGGCACAGAGAGGTTAAATAGCTTGACCAGTGTCACACAGCTGAGCTCCCACGAGGCTAAGGTGTCCTTCTCCCCGAAGCCAGTCTAAATCTCCGGAGGGCAAGCCCAGGCGGTTTCTCTGGGCAGGCAGTCTTTGAGCACCACTGTATCTGGGCTGTGAGCGAGGCAGTGGGTTCCTGTCCCAGGCGCTGTTCCTACGGATGGACGCTGCCTGCTGCAGGACCTGAGCTGGCTTCATGCTCAGCTGCAACCACCTTGAAATCTGTGGTAGTTTATGAACAAGGGACTCTGCATTTCCATTTTGCCCTGGACCCCACACATTGCGTGGCCACCCTGAACCTGGACGCTAACCCATAGTGCACTGGGGCCCATGGAGGGCTGGCGGGGGTCCCAGAGGGCCTCAGGGGCAGGAGCGAGGCTGGAGATGAGAGCAAGGAGTGGTCTTTGT